GGTGAGCTTATTCACGAGACTTTTGCCAACGCTCGTGAGTTCTCAATGCAGTTGTGGTCAGCACTGTCACCACGCGGAAGTGTCTGATTCAGCCACAGCCTTTATGATCAAGCAAACATCTAACAGAACCCCAAAGAGATTTTGGAAGTCAGCCCAAAATGTGGCAGTGGCTTGTTTTGGACTAGGTGAGGAAGTCAGACCTCAGCCTGAAGAGGTGAAATCAAGGCTTGACATGGGGGAAGTAGGGCTTTCTAACTTCTTCAGAGACGTCACGTGGACAGCTTCCTATTTCACCTAAACTAGTGCTAATTCCAAGCTTATCTCGGATACCGTATTCAAAAGGAAGCATAAAAATAAACTCCAAAAAGTAACGTGTGGCCTGGTTTGTGTTCTCTCTGCACATGCAAAGCCACGGACCTCACTCAGCACTCTGGCTGCTTCTTAAAAAATGTTTTCATGACAGGCTCGTATTTTGGGTTTTTTGTCTTTTGTTTTCAGAACAACTTCATTTTGTGCTTCAAAGACTGCTGAATCTTCTGAGAAGAAAGAGGGAGAAAATAAGAGGGAAGGATCATCTTTGTGCAGAGTTGATTCCAAAATGCAAAAGAAAAAAAAAAGGCAGAGAGACTTGCTGGCAACGACTGTTTGAGACAGTGGCTGTTCTAAGGAGACAGTTTGGTTCTTTATGAAAAGGGCATTCCTCCTCTACACACGCCCCCTCTCACACAGAAATGGCTGTGGCTCCCCATCGCGGCAGGGCTGGGCGGCCTCTCCTCCTCCACCTGCTCTGCTAGCTGACAGAGACCATGGAGCTGGAAGATAGAAACAGGAGGCACAGGCTGGTAAAGGGGTTACTCCACGTAACACGACCGCAGTCTACACATCAGAACTGACAGCTGGCAGTGTCCGGGGGGACAGCTCAGATCCAGAACAGGATCAGCACGCCTGGGTTTTGACTTTTCCCATCCCGTGCGGAAGTCAAGAGGTCTTCAGACAGAAAGAATGCCATGAACAGGCTCCTCCCACTAGACCTTCACTGACAGACAGGGTGTCGGCAGAGATGATGGAGACCAATCACATCAGGCCCCTGTGACTGACAGAATGGCCTGTGGGTCCCTCTACTGTTCTACAGTTAAGAGTAAAAAAGAAAAAGGACTTCTGTTATGATACACACATGCTGTGTACACACGTGCTAGAGAAGGAAATGGCAACCCACTCCAGTATTGTTGCCTGGAGAACCCAATGGACAGAGAAGAGCCTGGTGAGCTATAGTTCATGGGGTCACAAAGAGTCGGACACAACAGAGTGACTTGGCACGGCACACAAGTGCTAAAAAGGCTTCGGGGAGGCACACGTCCTCAGCCCACTTTTCAAAGTGAATCTGTAGACGGGGCCAGGCAGCAGGCCAGCAGACACAGCTCTGCAGAACTACAGATGGCTTCTCTGATGCCACACGTGCGAAGCTAAGCTATGAAAATGCACGTTTGTGTGAGTGAAAGGGTGATGCTTGCCAGGATACTGGAGGACTAGTTTCTGCCCCGAAGGCCAAATAAAATGCCAGCAGCCCAAAAGCTGGAGGTACACATGTGAGGTCTGCTCAGAAAGTGCGCGGGAATCCCCTGGAGAACTGGCCTTTCCCCAAGGCGGGGATGGGGAGGAGGTTGGACATGTCGACAATCCCAGGGACCCATGAAGCTACACCTTCAACGCCCCACCTCCCTTCCAGCGACAGCCGCAGACACCCAGTGAGTGGTGTGACATGTTACAGCTGTGAGAACAACACAGGACTCACAGAGGCACACAACTGATGTCAGAATGCAGGTGCATACACAGAGTTAACAGCCGACCCCAGGGAGGCTGGCAGTGACAGGCCACATGCTGCTGGCTGCAAGGGTGGCAATGCAAGAACCAGCAACACAGGCTGACACATCGTGCACCTGAAATGTCCTAGTTTGGAAGCTGGCACAGCTAATTATGCACAGACACTCAACGTGTTTAGCTCTTTAAGATGTTTCCTGTGGCTGCTCATTGGTGTCACACAATAACTACAGCAGAAATCGATTAAGTCTCCTACAAACAATGGTTTTAACAGTTTCACGGTTAGAGCAGACACACAGAAGTCTGTCCCTGCTATGGTCTGAGACACCCATGTCATGCATGTCTCACTGACAGGGTCTTTTGTTAGAGAGGCTGCATGTGGCCCATCGAGGCAGTAAGTTGAGTTGCATGTTTGTTCTCTGAAACTGCCAGGCCCAAGGACTCAATTTTTCAGGAAGAATATCTGTTGTTTCAATTTTGATGAAAGTTTTAATCTCATTGTATTTCCCTTAATGGTTCAAAACAAGAAACAGCCAGAGTTGAAAAAGTTATTCATGATCCTTTCATCCAATAATTTATGTGTCTGGCAAAACTCCCACTTTCAGGTCCACAAAAACTACACAGGTTTGTTCAAATTTCTGGAAGAGAAAGATGAGGTCCACAACCTCATGTGGAGGTGGCATATGTAAGGGAGACCCCAGGCTTCTGTCAGGAAGATGGTTCAGTGGGCATGCAAGTCCACGACTCCCCATCAGAGAAAGGTCAGCCCATCAACTCGTCTCAGAAAACAGTGGAGCCTGGGGGTGGGCGATCTTAAAACCCAACCTACTCTTACCTCCTCATGTAAGAGATGAAGGCGACTGGTCTGGGAAGAAAACCTGCAAAAGTGAGATCAGAGCCTAACTGTGCCATGTATCTTAACATCGATTATTCTGACTCCAAAATAAAAATACCTCTGAAAATATCACAGAGCTGAAGATAGCTAATGAGCTAAGTTTTACAGTCATCTAAAAACAGTATGCTAAGTAACGTTCCACTGTTTTAGGTACTGAGTTCTTGGGAACAAACGCTAACTCGTCTGCACACCCAGGCCCGCCGCCCACCCGCCTGCTGGCCTGTGTTCTCTTGACAGCCAGCTGATGAGAAGGCGAATTGGTCTACCTGGAGTCACGATGGAGGTGCTTCTCCTACGACGCTCTTACCTTCTCTTGTTGTACTAATACTTGGAGGACCTTGTCAGAATTTCCTGCATGTTCTTTGGCTGTGGCTGAGCCAAGAATGACTTCTGAGTTCTTGTTAGGTGACTGTCAAAGTTAAGAACCCTGGCAGCCAAGATGGAAGCATTATACTGATCCAGGACCTCAGAGGGTGGGAGCTGGTTCCAGGTCTGGCTCAGGTGGTATGTTCAGGGAGAGGCGGGGCCGCTGGCAAGTAACTTCTCTGAGGCCAACACTTAGAAGAGGCGGCTGGTCAAGGCAGCCAGAGCCAGGTAAGAAACCACTCTGGCAAGTGTCTGGAGGGTGGCCTGAGGCAATGACGGCCAAGAAACCCACTGATGGCACAGGTTCAGTAATGCGTCAGTTCTCAAATTTTGTAATATTGTGTGATAAGGGATTAAACTGCTCTATTTGGAAGGTACGTTTGCAAATCACTGGAAAATCAAAAGAGAAATGTACTGCGTTTAAAAAAAAGTGCCCCTAAGTTTGAAAATGTTAGGTGTGCAAATGGGGGGGCCCTAAGTGGTCAAGCTACATGTAGGCATCCTGTGACATCACGCTTGTATATATAATCTGACCTGTTTCTTAGAATCTATACAATAACTTATTGAGGGCCACATCTTACACTCAGGGCTTGTCTTTCACTGTTTATCTGTGAGATGACGTATATATGAAGCAATGCAAGTTATGATGTGGTTCTTCCTCCAAAGACACAAAATAGAAAAGCAAGACACGTGGACAAGCAAACAAAAGCAGACACCACAGCAAACCAGAACCCACAGTCATTTCAACAGGGAACACCACGAAATCTGCTTTCCTACTTGGCTGCTCCCTGAACTGAAAATTCATGCGCTTTGGTGGCCGGAAAGTATAGGTTTCACTACACAATCATGATCTTAATTTTCATAAACAAAGGGCCACGAGATTGACCGAAGCAAGCTTGTTAAGAGAATCAAAACAGAATTCTGGGCAGAAATCTACCCCTTCCACTGCCATGAAATTCATGACACTACATCAGACCCAGAGGCTGGGAATCCAGCCTCCAGCAACCCTGGGAAACAGTTATAAAATGCAAGCTGTACAAATCTGTATCCAGAACCTACTAAGGGTTTTTAAATTCTACAGTGTTTTATATTGAGAGACATCTGAAAATTCAAAATAATTTCTAATAACCAAGAACATCAATGTTAAGGACATCTATTCCTGACAGGGGAAAGACAGCAATGCATGAGCTGAAGCCTAAAATACTGTGACAATCTTGCCCAGAAACCATTTAAACTTTAAACAATAAGCAACTCTGAGCTCACTTTGGGAACAGCTTCCTCTGAAAGGTCGCTGTTAGGACGGGCTTGTTGGGAAAACGTGGCCTCTGATGTCCTCCCCCGACCATCCCCCCAAAAGAAGGGAATCTAATATTGGTCCGATGTGTATTCTCCATGCTGACCCTTTGAAATAAAGTGAGTTACTTCAGGCTCTTCTGCAGGGAGCATACAGGAGCTGCTAAGAAAGGACACACCCTGCACCAGGACAGTGGGTAGGATCTGCATCCACCAGTCAGCCTGAGTAGCGGGTTAGGCGCTCCCACTGAGTGAGGATGACCCACATGGGGTGCTGAATCAACACTGAGATGGAAGAGCAGCCTCTCCTCCAGACCCCAGAGAGGACTTGGCTGGAGCTCTGTCCTCATGGTAACCAGCTTCCTCATCACCAGGAACGGCAGTCATGGTGCTAGGTGGATTGTTCCTACCATGGAGCTTGTTATAACTTGGCCATGGGGTTAGTTATTTACTGGCCATGGGTTAGTTATGACCTCGCCAGGGGGTTCGTTATAACTTGGCCACAGAGCTAGTTATAACCTGGCCATGGGTGGGCACAGAGCAGCAGAGGGACCTGGAAGGAAGGTGAGGGCTCAGTGAGGGCAGAGACATCCTCGTATCCTGGGTGGGGAGAGTGGCCGGGACCCACCTGCCGCGGGCCTGTGCGTCACCCAGCGCCTTCTGCAGCCGGGCGTTCTTCTCTTCCTCTTCCAGCAGCCTCCGCTTGACAGCACGCAGCTCCTGCTGGGCCTCGACCTTGATGTCGTTGGCCACCACTACTGCCGTCTGTAGGTCAGCCTGGAAGCGCCGCCACTCTTCCGTCTCGTCCTGGAAGAGCCAAGTTGGTGCCTGCATCAGACTGACCCCCCAGCCACAGTTGCAGGGCCCAGGGGTGTCCATAGGAAAGATGGGCTTTGGGATCTTGGTGCCGGGAAAAGGCGCAGGGAGGCTGCACCTGCAGGTGCGGGAGTCCCAGCCCTGAAATTGAGGCCGCCTGAACCTCCCTCCTGGCCACACTGTGGTTCCAGGCCCTGCAAGTTTACTACACAAAGCAGGGCCAGAGAGTCGTCAGGGTGCGTCTCAAAGGTGTCCACACCTCAGTTAATGGGGATATTTCAGGTAGAATGATGCTCTGGCTCTGACCGTGTCTTACCTTTATCTGCTTCGTCAGAGTCTTCAGCTGCCTCTCCAGGTCTGATTTCTGTTCCTCCAGCTTCATCACGCTGCCTGGAAAGGAATAGGCAGACTGGAGTCAGAAATGTCTTGAGACTCTGGGGAGCTGAGCTCAGGAGCTGGGCAACCTCAGGTCCTGCCACGGGCTCCAAGACCTGCCCCTGTGGCCGGGCTTCCCAGCTCAGCGCCCAGAGCACGGGAGCCAGAGGCAGAGGGTTCCTCCAAGAGAAACAGGATGAGTGGGAACGTAAGTGATGTGAGGTTAGGGCTCAGCCTCAGAGACAGGCTGCACAAACTCACAGTGCTACAGGAAGAGAGCCAACAGTCACTCACACTCACACGCTGGCTGCCTGGAAGCAGCACGGAGACCTGAACATCCTTCGCTGCTGTGATGTGGAAGAACGGCTTTTCGTTAAATTTATTTTTAACTAGAGGATAGCTGCTTTACAATGCTGTGTTGGTTTCCACCGTACAACAATGTGAATCAGACACAAGTGTACATGTGTTCCCTCCCTCTTCAGCCTCCCAGAGGGAGGGGTTCTGAGTAACAGCAGGAATGGATGGTTATTACTACTGTGTTAGACCAGCTTCCAGAGTCTGGAACTGACTCGCTGCTAAAACTCTGAATCACCCAGGGAAACTTTTCAGGAGCACAGATGTTCAAGCTCTAGACCCTGACCAATGGAATCCGGTCTCCCAGGGAGACAGGGTCTGGGGGTGTCTATGGTCCAGGCAGGTACAGACAGCTGCCAGGCACACAGGATCAGCTCCCAGAGCAAAGATGGGTTATGCTCCCTTGAGACTGATCCCAATGTTTTCATCAAAGTTTAATGCTGTTCGCATTAAACTGGATCACTGGTCGTTATCTTTGTGGAAAAAAGCCCGTCCAATGAGTTCTGGAACCTGCTCACCCACAGCATCTTTCTCCCATGTAACACTTGGCAGGCATCTGAAAGACACTTCTGCAGCCTAGGGCACTCAGAACTGCCTCATCTGCCGGGCTGGAACTTTCCTCCTGTGGGTACCAGTGCTGGATGAGAGGGCTTCACACCTTCCTGGGAATCTGACCACACGTGTCTTTGATTTGGGTTCACAACCACACTGTTCAATGTCTTGGTTCTTTTTTAAATCTCATGAATCTACCAATGTCACTACTTTCCCATCTGCTCCAATCAGCACTTTCCCAAGTGGCTCGAGGCCAGACTGGGAAGGTCCCCTCCTGGTCTCTAGAGGTTTGGTCCACATGAAGGTACTTCATTTCTGATCGGCATGAAGCTCCCCAATGGCTTGGATTTCCTGCACGTGATGTGTCCCGGCTCTCCTGTACCAGAGACAGCGGATGGGATTTCAGAACTACACTTGGCGCCATTTTAATTTGTCACAACAAATTAAGTGAGAAGCGAAGGCTTCTCACTGCAGTGGCGTCTCTTGTTGTGGGGGTGCACGGGCTCTACAGCACAGACTCAGTGGTTGTGGTGCACAGACTTAGTTGCTCCATGGCATGTGGGATCTTCCCCAACCGGAACTCAAACCCATGTCCCCTGCCTTAGCAGGTGGATTCTTAACCACTGGACCACCAGGGAAATCCCTTGGGGCCCATTTTAAACAGAGGCATCACCAACATCCAAGCACAAAAATGCAAAACACATGGCACTGAATCAACTGTGAAAGACACCTGTGGATGGTCCAAGCTGAAACAGGAAGGCAGGGTCACCTTGTCCCACCCCAGCTGGTGAGGCCCCTGGGAGACTCAGATTTTTTCCCTGTCTGCAGGGTGCCAGCAGCTATGGCAGCATCATGTTGATTGGGCAGGGGGTGGGGTTTACAAGAAAGTTTTGGCAAGCAGGTAGATTTACCACCAGTAAGAGTTCCAGGAATAGGATAGAGGGACTGCACCCACTGGGGAACCTTTCAGGCCACCAACTGTGCTATGTTCAGCAAGGCAGGTGCTGCTAAAAGCTTGCACACTAAGTCTTTTGTTACTAAAAGAAAACACATTAGATGGGATCATTTGATAAGGCTTATTTGCACAAAGCAGGCAGTGTTTACCTAATCTCTGAAAAATATCCCTCCCTACTCAGAGCTAGCAACTGGTTCCTAAATAAGCCACACACAAGCGCCTCTTCAGGAACATGTGGGCGATGTCTCAAAGTCAGCTGATCCTACTGTCCAGGAGACCCATGCTGGGGCTGTTTTCCCCTGAGGCCAACCCCCGGCCCCCACCCTTCCACCTGGCAGATACCAACGGTAACACCTGTTGGCACCTGCCGTGTGTTCCTAATGCCCCACACACTCCACCCACGACCAACAGCTTTTCTTCTTCATCAGCTGTTCTGTGGCTCAGTTCAGGAGGCTGATGATTCTCTCTCTTCTACTGGCCTTTCTTCCTGGGAGACAATAGCACGCTCAAAAGGAAGACCTGGCAACCAGTGTCCCCACCTCCGTCCTGACCCATGCCCACACGGGACTTGGGTCTACTTACTTTCCAGCTCACTGATGAGCTGGTTGTTGTGCAACTTGACAGCGCGATGCTGCTCCACCTGGTCCTCCAGCTCGAATATGGTCTCCTTCATGTCTTTGATCTCTGCGTCACTCTCTGACGCTTTCTCCTGTAGCTTCAGGCTGGTTCTGCTCAGTTGCTCTGCCTGGTGATCGCAGATCTCCTTTAGGTAAGAGTAATCCTTTTCCACCTAGAAGGAAGCAAGGTGCCATGGTCACCTGAACAGGAAAGAGCTCCCCCCATGTCCACACTGGGCCCACTGATGCAACAGCAAAGGAAGCCCTGGGCACGTGTGTGCCTGGCACCATCTCTGTGTTCTGGGCCTCAAAAACAGCCAAGGCAAAGAAGCGTGATGGATGTCAGTGGCCGAATGGATGGATTCTGGGCCCCTTCCTGCAGCGTCAAAGAAACCTTGCTGTTGTTGTTCAGTCGCTAAGACGAGTACAACTCTTTTGTGACCCCATGGACTGTAGCCCGACAGGCTCATTCTGTCCATGGGCTTTCCTAGGCAAGAGTACTGGAGTGGGTTGCCATTTCCTTCTCCAGGAGATCTTCCCGATCCAGGGATTGAACCTGAGTCTCTTATGTCTCCTGCACTGGCAGGAAGGTTCTTTACCACTAGCGCCACCTGAGAAGCCCCTAAAGAAAGCTGCATCTGCTTAAGTACCCCTTCCCTGTCCCTTCCTTGGAGCTGTCCCAGGACAGTGGCCAATTCACCTCACAGTCACAATGGAGCAGCGCCCTCTGCTGGGAAGCTAGAAGGCTAACCCCACGACATGCCCCAAACTTCTACCTGGGGCTAGTGTTTCTTTAGAGGAACACTAACGGGACAGCAACAGGAGAAATGTGCACACACCAGACACAGACACGTGCACAGCACACTCACTTCACCTGTTCAAGTTTAATCAGTAACGTTCTCAACACACAGAAAAGCACCAATTGGGATGAGATAACCATGTGCCAAAACGGGCAAACCAACTGTTAATTTTTGCCATGTTTGCTAAATCTTCTTTTACCCTAACAAGATTTGTTAAAGCCACAATCTTCCTTCCCACACTAGGGAGTGTCTAGAAATCGGCTTGTGGTTGTTCCTTGAAGAGTTTCCCACGTTTACTGTGTGTGGATGTGCCCACGACAATATACAGTGTTGTTCTGGATGCTCTGAAACGTTTACACAAATGATATCACACTGTCTTAGGCTTCTGCAGGGCACTGTACGATATACTACATTGTATCCTATGTAAGATGCTCTCGTCCTGTATTATTATTCTGTGCCCTGTACATACTATGCTGATTACACTTCTGTAACTTGCTTTCAACTATGTTTTTGAGATATATTCAGAATACACACTGTTCTAGTCAGTACTTTTTTTAAAAAAGAAAAGCTTTATTATTATTTTTTTTAATGCACCATGATGTTTGTGGGCTCTTAGTTCCTCAACTAAGAATTGAACCTAGGCCCCTGGCAGTGAAAGCGGTGAGTGCTAAGCACTGGACTGCCAGGGAATTCTCTAGGTCATTACTTTAAATACTGCATAATATCCTACTGCCTGAATATACTAATCACTTTTACTATTTTAAGCTGTATCCTGGTTCTACAGTCCTTTGTTATTAATTAGCTGTACATTTAGCAAATGATGTAAGCTTGACACCTAGGTGGTTTCTTCCCAGATTTGGAAGGGGAAGTCTCCAAATACAATTTTTTTCCCAACTGCATTTCATGTGCAGAATCTGTGGGTATTTGAGGACAGTACTGCGTTTTATTAAAGTATCTATTCTGGGTATAACATTCTTATTTTATTTTTTACAATTTTATTAACCATTTCATCTTTGGCTGTGCTGGGTCTTCGCTGCTGTGCAGGCTTTTCTCTAGTTGCGGCAAGCAGGGGCTACTCTCTGGTTGCGGTGTGAGGGCTTCTTGTTGCGGTGGCTTTTCTCCCATCACAGAGCACGAGCTCTAGGGTGAGGGGGCTTCAATAGCTGTGGCAATGTGGGCTCCTGCAACACAGGATCAGTAATTGTGGTGAATGGCCTTAGTTGCCCTGAGGCATATGGGATCTTCCTGGGCCAAGGACTGATCCTTCGTCTCTTTCACTCCCAGGCTGATTCTTTCCCACTGAGCCACCAGGGAATCTGTGCAGTTTGTCAATTGGGAGGTTTTGATGAGGGATAACAAAGCTGAGAGCCGAAGAATTAATGCTTTTGAACTGTGGTGTTGGAGAAGGCTGAGAGTCCCTCGGACTGTGAGGAGATCCAACCAGTCCACCCTAAAGGAGATCAGTCCTGGGTGTTCATTGGAAGGACTGATGTTGAAGTTGAAACTCCAATACTTTGGCCACCTGATGCGAAGAGTTGACTCATTTGAAAAGACCCTGATGCTGGGAAAGACTGAGGGCATGAGGAGAAGGGGACGACAGAGAATGAGATGGTTGGATGGCATCACCAACTCGATGCACATGGGTTTGGGTGGACTCCGGGAGTTGGTAATGGACAGGAAGGCCTGGCGTGCTGCAGTCCATGGGGTTGCAAAGAGTCGGACACGACTGAGCAACTGAACTGAACTGAACTGATCAAGGATAAGGAAAGAAGGGACTGAGGGAGGAAAAGAGTGCGTCTGTGTGGGGAGGAAACAAGAGAGTGCTTATGTGGGAGAGGGGAAAGGCTGTAGGTGCCTGTGGCGGGGGGGCGGACAGGAGCCGCACTTGGGGATGGGGCCAAGGGCTTGGACCAAACTGCAGCGTGTAAATGTCAGCTCTACCAGACCCTGCATCCATCTGAACAATTAAATGGAACAGTGCACTTAAATAGTTTATCACCATGCCTGGTGCAGGCAAGCACGCAACAGTAGCTATTCTTTCCTAACTGCCTTCTGTCTCCGAGTATGTTAAGTTCAAGAAAATTACAACATATGGAAAAGACCAAAAGTCTTATGTCCTAGGATAGCTACTTCAATAAACAGAAGATAGACAAACCTTAAGGAGAAAAAGCCACTGCATTTTAGCTCCTGGAAGGCTGGCGTCTGACAGCCTTTAACAAGCAGCCACAGGAGGCACCTGTGGGCCTTGCCTCCCGAAGATTCTGGCTTTCTGCAGAGCAACCAGGCTCCACCTCACAGACTCCCATGTTAAGGGGCACTCCCCTGGGGTCTAGAAACATGTCCTTTGCTTGACTGGGACTAAAATGGGATGATGTGAGCAGCTGAGGAATGACTGAGGACCCTAGGGTCTCCACGTGCAGCTCAGGCTGCCGGCCTCTCAGGAGCTCTGGCCTCTGTTACATCCTTTATGTCGGGGTAGTGAGCAAAGGCGTAGGTACGGAAGGGCCTGTGCTCGGTGCCGTGCACAGCTGAGTGGGTAAACGTACGGACCAGTGCATGTGGGTCCACTTACAGACAATGTTCTTCCTTCTTGATTTTGGAATATTCTCTCAAGTTTAGCAATGTACTCTGGAAAGCTCTTTTATTAAAAAACAAAACAAAACGAAACGAAACACATAGCTTTATCACGCTTCCAGTAGGGGCTGGGGAGGTATTTTTAGACTCATCTCACAAAGTAACTAATGGAGAGAGAAATTAGATCATTAGAAAAGAGCAGCTTGGCCAGCAGCTCAGCCCAGCACCTGCCCCTGACGACTACTGGGTGCCGGCTGAACCCTGCACCCCTGGCTCCTCATTCCCTGGGCCAGGTCACTGGGTCCAGCTTCTCTGGTTCAAGAACAGAACTGACACGCAACAACGTGGTTTCCAAGGCTTCCCTTTAAAGACAGAACTCACTCTCACGCATATAAAGCACATCTCCTCTTCAAAAGTCAACTTTCTCTAGAAATGGGGCATGCAGAACTGCATCACAAATCTGTCAAATGATTCCTGGGAGTCCCAGTCCTCCCCAGAGAGGGGGTGCTTTAAGCCGGTCCCGATGCTCAGACAAGCACTAAAGGCAGGTGGCAGCAGAGACCACTTGGGAGGGACTGTCCTGCAGGGCTGGCCTGAGCTGACAGGGGCTGGGATCTCAACAAGGTCACTGCCTTTCCTCTGGCTGGTCAGACACTGAATCTGAGAATGGTATCGTCATTCGCCTGTCCCCAGGAAAACAGACCCTGCATGGACTATAGCCTGTCAGACTCCTCTGCCCATGGAATCATCCAGGCAAGAATACTGGGGTGGGTTGCCATTTCCTTCTCCAGGGCATCTTGCTGAATCAGGGATCAAACCTGAGTCTCCTGCATTGGCAGGTGTTTTCTTTACCACCGAGCCACCTGGAAAGCCCTTTCTTCTGGGTACAAGATGTTCTAAAACTGATTGTGGTGATGGCTGCACAACTCTGTGGATATACTAAAAACCACTTACTGGTACACTTTAAATGAATTATATGTCAACAAGGCTGGTATTGAAAAAATTCTCCAGAGGCTCCCACTGGATTGAGGGTACAATTCAAAGCTCCTGATGGGGTCTCCTCCAGCCTGACTGTAAGCAGCTGCTGTGCACTCCAGAAACTGCAAAACACTGGTCACTTCTTTGATGGGTGAGAACTTGCAATTGTCTTTCCATGACATTCCTGCTGTCCTGCCCCACCAACACACCTGGTGAACACAGACTCCCCTCAAGATTCAGGTTCTAAATCAAACAAGAGGATGCGTCTTGATGACACGGGTTTTCGCTGCGAATTTCTTTACTCTCTAGACAAGCAAGAACATCTTTCCTAGTTCATCGAGACTTGGCAGGTTGCTTTCTATCAAACCTAAAGGCCCTGGCTGTAAGACTGCTGTGTATTCGAGCCCATGTGTCTGCTTTAGATGGTTGTCTCTCTCTTCTTTATTTTAGTGTAACCAGGAAGCAGCATAAATCAGGGATGAAGAATAACCATTCTGGGAGTTCCCTAGTGGTCCAGTGGTTAAGACTCTGTGCTTCCACCACAGGGGGCACAGGTTAGATCACCAGTCAGGGAACTAAGATTCCTGCACACTGCATAGTACAGCAAAAAATAAAAAACCCAAAACAAAAAAACCCTGCAAACAGGGTGATGAAAAGTAAGTCCAACAAAATCTGCCTCTTCAAAAACAACCAACCAACCAAGAAGAGTTCTGGGGTCAGCCCCTGGCCTTCATTAGTTAATGAACTAAGCCTAGTAACTTAACCATTCCCTGCCTCAGTTTCCTCAACAAACCCTGAGATGGGTCAACAGAAAAAAAAAA